ACTGCGGCCAGAGCGTAGCAGCAAGGGTAAACAGTGTCGAGCGCATCGGTCCGGCACCGCGAGTGGCAGTGCGGGACCCTCTCGGCCGCGTCACGCAGGAGTTGGACCAACCTCGTCACGAATACACAAATGGAGCGTCCTTGGGCCGCCCTGTTCGAGTGCGTCAGCCATACCTCTCGCGAGCCCCTACGATAGGATAGGGCCTACGCGAGGCACAACTTACCTCCACCTTACGGGAGTTGTCACCTCCCTTCGGTGGGCGTATCCCCGCCGAGCTACCAGTCCACAGTACGAAAGTTAATCAGTTGCAATCGCAGAGGTGGAGCAGCCGAGGGCGTTTCTCGTTCGCTGTAGCATAGGGGGTACACGCGGTAAATACGCCCCTATCGGACTCGCACGCGAACCGACCTCTTGGGGGGCTGAAGTCCCAAGCGCGACTCATTGTCGGTCGACTAGGACGTATCCCACACCCCACGTGCACACCACTTAACAACCACACGACAACAACACGCACACATACACACGAAACGACACAACGCAAACAACGCGACAACGCTCCTTTCCCCTCGCTAGCCAACCTATAACTTCCTGACGCGGAAATTGGATAGGCGTCGCGCAGGAGACTTAGTATAAAAATCACGCGGACACAGGGCTAACTCATATCGACTCGCGATGCAAGCGCACGTAAGCGGTCGCAACGATGGCGTACCACGTGGTACTCGTACTCTCGCTGTCCTCGTTAATCTCGAGGGTCGCGTTCGACACTCAAGTGTCGGCTGACACGCGCCTTGAGGGTTAATCTCTCAACGCTAGACAACCGCCATGCGTGGTTGGAGACCACACACCCTCTTCTGCACCCTTATGCAGAGCGGGTGGTACACAGGCCCATGCCTGTGGTGGTAGTCGTCTCTCGCGGCCCTAGGGGTGAGTCCTCCCCGGGATCTGGGTGAAAATCAAGGGGTTTGACTTTGACGGCTGTCACGGACTACAACGTCCAACTATAAAAAATCTCTAAGAAGCAACAAGACTCGCACGAACCCAAGAAGAGGGGATAGGGCAAAGGTCTTATGGCCTTTAAAACAAAAAAAACTCATGGCCTTGGGACACACTTCCCGTTTGTGGGCGGTGTCGGCGGCCTACGATAATCCCAAGCGCTGCGCCTACGCGCAAGCCCGACGGTCCCATAACTTTTAGACGTTGGGGCGGTGAGGCGTCGCGTGCGGGGCTCTGATATAAAACTGTGCGGCCGCAGGCCAACCCTATGCCAACCACTGATGCGAATCATATGTGGTAACCGTGGCATCGGCCTAGCGATGTTGAATGGCTGAAGGAACCCATCGCGAAGGGCTACCCCTCACGATATTGAATGGCTGAAGGACATGCCGTTCGGCCCTCGCGACATTTCCGCCCTTCAGGCGGAGTGCCCTGCCGGCCAAAGTAAATAGGCTCTATGCGAGGGGAGACTCCTCCCCTTCAGGGCCTGGGGCTTGGGATGTCCTGGACAAGGACCTTGAATCCCGACCCAGGACCAACGTCCGACTAAGAAATCCCCAAGACGCAGAATAGGCAGGATGGAGGGTTTTCCCTGTCCGTCAATCCCAACTCTCACGCAGTTGCTAACATGACCTTTTAGGCCTCCCGAACACTCATCATACGTATATGCACACATACATACGGAAGGGGGATAGAGTTATGATGATCACTTCTCACAGGCACAGTGGGACCCCTCACAACCATGCATATGTATATAGAATCGTAGGCAGTCCAAATCCAAATCCGAGCCACAGGACATACCTGCAACCACACCAAGAATCAAGTGACAAAACACACACTACACGGAGTTAACCCCAACCATTCTCTATGCTCATACCCCTTCGCTTTAGCCATGCAAGCCCCAACCGCCAGTCCAACCAACCTCAATTAAATACTCAGTACCTTTGTTAAGTAACCATTCAATAAAAGTCCGGGTGAAACCCTTAACAAACAGTAAAAACCACCAGGGCTAAAGCCTTTTAGGTTGAGTACGGGGAATGAGTTGAAATTGAGTCGAGGACTGACGAATCGGCAACCGACCTTTTATCAGTGACAACAGAAGACGATCCTCAAGGGATCAAGCTGAATCTAGTCCTGATCTTGAATCGAAAGATCAAGACGACCTGTAACACATGACAGGTCAATCCCCAAGCTGAGATCATGAACGTATGGAGAATACGACTCCATAACATATTCTCACTCAAATCCTCCTAGCTAGCCAGGCCTGAATCTACCTCGAAGCGGTGCCCAAAGCAAAGGCAGACCCTGGCTGAATCTTTCCTATTTAGGGTGGATCGCCAGAATCGTCACCTGTCAAAATGTAATCCAACTTCGCTAATTTAGGAAAATTTTGGCAGCGCTCCCCGTAGGAAAAGTGCCTTTTCAAAATTTTTACCAGCTCGAATATCAAAAGAAGAAGTATTCCATAACTCTTGAAAATCAAATTTTGTCTATCTCTCTGACTTAGCAGAAATTTGGGCAGCCCCCCTCTTTGAAATTGGGGATTTCCCAGATTCGTACCAAGTCGAAGTTGAACTGAACCCCCAACCTTGGGTTCAACTTAGACAGAATCTGGCTAACTCCTCAGTTTTGCAGAAATTTCGGCAGCACTCCCCCTAGAAAAGTGCTTCCCAAAAATTCATACAAAGCCAAGTTTAAAACCTAAGACTAACTCTGACATCCCAAAGCCCAGTTTTGTCAAACTCCCTGAATTAGCAAAAATTTTAGCAGCACTCCCTTTAGAAAAGGAGACTTTCCAGATTTTTACTAAGTCGGATATGACGAAAAGACAAACTGAACTTTGACAAGTCGAAAATTTGTCTAACTCCTTGAATCTGTAGAAATTTCGGCAGCGCTTCCCGTAGAGAAAGTAACTTACCAGAATTTATACAGGTTCAAGTATAGTATCGGCCCTCAGAAAAATGCAAAAATCGATCTAAGTAAAATAAAATCAGCTCAGAAAATGCAGAAATTGACCTAACTCCTATCGCTCTAGCACGTGGCGAGCCTCTAAAGCAACTACCTGTCAACCTGAAAATCCAGACCAAGTAGTAATCTCACTGAGGCACATGCAGGCCAAACCACGAAGGTAAGTACTCTCACCATCCCCAAGCCAGTCTGAACAAACAATAGTTCATGATCTTTCAGTGAGTTATCTCCTCATACCCAACTTACATACGGCATAGGTCAGGGCACCTAAACTTACAAAGCGCACCAAACTTAACCACGCCCAAAGTCAGAATACCTAAACTTATAGAGCGTTCTGACTTGGCCAGGTATACACAAACAGAGGGCACAACTACTTCTCTTTTCTTTGGGCGTCCGACTAGACCACTCGAGTCGCCCTAAGCTGTTTAAATAGCCAAGTTATATATATATATATATATATATGAACTTAATCTTCAAGGGGGCATAGGGCTGAGCCGCTCAACTTAGAACATTGCTCAGCCTGCCCAAGTATACCTTCAGTTGTATCTCTTTAGTTGTACTCTCTCCTGTTGTGATAAGCTATAGTCAGGCTACCTAAACTTATAGAGCAGCCTGACTAGCCTATTCTTAATAACATAGTAACATAATATAGCCAAGTTATATCCATTGGGTTTCAACATGTGGGAGGCATTGGGTCAGACTACCTAAACTTATAGAGCGGTCTGATCCTCAACCAGGTTCGTTTCTCTCTGATCCAATCTGTGCGAGGCAGTGGGATAGGCTACCTAAACTTATAGAGCAGCCTGTCCCCTGCCAGAATTATCCGCTAAAAACAAAACAAGAGAAGGGTTGAACCACCTAAACTTATAGAGCGGTTCACACCTCCTCGTCCAGCACCAAAGAAATTGCGAAAACCCCAAACAAAGCGAGGCAACCCAAGGTACCTAAACTTATAGAGCGCCTTGGGTTCTTGAAAGCCACTCATAGTCAAACCCCCACAAGTCAGAGAAGTCAGAACACCTAAACTTATAGAGCGTCCTGACCCTCCATGCAGTTCATAGCACCAGGTCTCCCCAAAAACAGCCATTTCGTCAAAACGGACATATTATATTTTTTGAAGGAAATCAAAACTGACATTTTTTGCCAAAATCCGGTCGGAATTTTTTGCTCCTGGGGGTCCGGCGTTCCCAAAACGCCGGACCCCCCTGGTCTATGGTTGAGACCAGATACTTTTTTTTTTTTTTTTYTTGTATCTGGTCTCAACCATAGACCAGGGGGGTCCGGCGTTTTGGGAACGCCGGACCCCCATGAGCAAAAAATTCCGACCGGATTTTGGCAAAAAACGTCAGTTTTGATTTCGTTCAAAAAATATAATATGTCCGTTTTGACGAAATGACTGTTCAAACTTATGGGGACATCCCAGCCCTCCAGAGCTTCAGGCTACCTAAACTTATAGAGCGGCATGAGGCTCCATGCAGTCCAAAAATAAACAAAGCGTTGGGCTTCCCCAAACTTAAGGGGACCTCCCAGCCTTAATGACCCAGTCAAGCTGCACACAATACTGCCTTCCTCCCAACTTTCCCCCAGATACAACCCATCTCATTCATAGTTTGCTTTCAGGCAATCAACAAACCATAGAAAGATATACAGGTAGGGGTTATAGAAGGGTTTATAGAGGGAGTCAAGGGTTTACCACTCAGTTCCCTGCCTCCAGGACTCCGCCTGAGTCCCGGCAGAGGTCCCGCAATCGGTGGGGCGACCTCCCACAAAGGCCTTGGCGCGGGTTACGGGCCACACGCCCGCCTGCCGCCTTCCTCTCAGAACCAAGGACCAGACTTAGAGTCGGGGAGGCAGAAGAAGAAGTTTCAAACTCTCAGACTCAGAAAAGAACCACTCAGACTCGCTTGAGAGGGTTTTCAATTCTTCCGCGCCTGAGGGCCCCGCAATGGCGGCCTAGTAGCAACCGCTTGACCCAACACCAGTCACACTGTCGATATCAACCCCCCCCCCCCCCTTTTTTGCAATGAGGTTGCAGCCGTGCGGCTCTAAACAGCGGTGCTCAAACCGCGTACGCCTTCGCAAAGATCCGGAGGTGCCCAGCGAACCCGCGCCTCGGGGTGCAGCGGAAGCCCAGCAAGCACAACACACAGCGGGCCTGCAGCAGTCCGCACAGCCGAATCAACTGCAGCACATCAACCCACCGGTAGGTGCAGCAACTGCTGTAGCCTAAAGCCTGCTCAAGCAGACAGCAGGGCTCCCAGGAATTTGCAGATCGAAAGGCGGCCACACTTCGTCTGCCTCAACCACCCGCAGTATAGAAGGTAGACCTGCAAGCTCGTAGCCCGCTTTGCCCGACAGTATGCTGGTTAGCAAATGGATCCCCTATCCCCCTGCTCCTTGGCCAATGTAACGAGCCGTGCTATCGCCTGCAGGTAAGTCTCCCCTCCCTTTCTCTCCCTCTCAGCATTCCCCTGTTCCCCCAAGCATCCTTCACCAATTGTCCATCGCTCTCCTTGCCCTGCTTCCCCTCTCAATACGGCCTCCAACTCAAGTTCCCGAAGCCTACTGGTAAGTATCCCTCCCTCTCTGTACCCGCAGGCGTCGACCAATCGGTGGAGTGGCGCTTTCGGCCGGCAGGTAAGTCCCCGGCAACAGTCCGCCTGGCATTACACCCCTTAGCAGAGTAGGACTAATACAACTGAATCTTCCACAAGAAAGCGGAGAGATTCATCCCCTCTTCCAGCACTCCCGAGCGCTGACCCCAACAATCGCGCTAGAAGACTCCGTTACTCCCTCGTCAAAGCCAATGCTATTGCTCAGCTAGCCGTTTCGCAGTGCCCGACCATATCCATCCCTTCGTGCTATCACTGCGCAGCAGTTCCTCCCCCTTACTCTCTATCTATTAACTTCTTAACCAAACTGACCCCAACTTCGGGTCCACCGTAGCGAGGAACCCCGAACTCGCACCTCCGCTCGTTCGTTCTCGCCAAGCAATCGAGCGATGTCACCGCCCTTCCTTCGCACTTCTCTGTCGCTACCACCTCGAGTCCCGAATGCACCTGGCACCGCCCACCGACTGGGTGCAGTCAGCCTGCTTCGCCACCCTTGCGCCCTCCTTAGGTACCTGGCACACTTTCCAGCCCGGGTTCAATCGCCCTCCCCTCGCTGCTAGCGCTGCCTCCCAAACGCTTGGTGTTGCGCCTGCCTGACCGCCTCCTCCCTCGCTCGTTCTCCTCTCCGTCATGTCCCTCTCGCTCGCCCGCTTCCTCATTCGACCCCGCTATGTTGTCGTCAACACACCGACTCACTGCGCACGAACAGCGACGGAAACTCC